GGGGCGCCCACCGCGCTGCCCGCCTACCCCGCGGCCGAGCCCCCCGGGCCGCTGTGGCTGCAGGGCGAGCCGCTGCATTTCTGCTGCCTGGACTTCAGCCTGGAGGAGCTGCAGGGCGAGCCGGGCTGGCGGCTGAACCGCAAGCCCATCGAGTCCACGCTGGTGGCCTGCTTCATGACCCTGGTCATCGTCGTGTGGAGCGTGGCCGCCCTCATCTGGCCGGTGCCCATCATCGCCGGCTTCCTGCCCAACGGCATGGAGCAGCGCCGGACCACCGCCAGCGCCGCCGCCGCCGCCGCGGCCGTCACCTCGGGGGCGGCGACCAAGTGACCCGCTCCGCTCCTCCCCGCGTCCGCCCGGTGTCCGCGTTCTCGGGTGCCTTTCCCGCCGGGAGACTCGCCGGTGTGCTTCGTGCTGTAGTGACCGTTAGTTCTTCTTTGGGGAGGGGGCCGCCGGAGAGGCCCCAGCGTGCTCGAAAGGCAAGGTTTGTGCCGCCCTTGTGGCCCTGAAAAGAAGATGAAGCCCTTGCCCTGAAGGGTGGGATCGCAGCTTGGAAGACCGAGGAGGGAAATGGGGCCCTTTCCCCTCGATTGCACCCCCCTACTCTCCTCCCTCCCCGCACCCACGTGCCCTATATTCATAGCAGAAAATGACCAAATCCTGTGTATTTGTTTTATATATTTAATAACTGTTTTAAATGAAAGTTTTAGTAAAAAAAAAAAATCAAATTGCTATTGCTATAGTAAGAGAAGCTCTTTGTATCCGAACATAGTATTCGAAGTTTGTTGTTTTTTAATTTATTTAAAGGGGGGGGCATGGGAAGGATTTAACACCGATATATTGTTACCACTGACAATGAACTTTATGAACCTTTTCCAAGTCGATCTATCCAGTGACGTGGCCTGGTGGGCGTTTCTTCTTGTACTTCTGTGGTTTTTTGGCTTTTAATACAGACGTTTTCCTCCAGAGATGCGTATGTAGCCTTTTCTTTATTTGCTTTAGGAAAAGGAATACAAGAATTACCATATGTTGCCCTGAAATGTGAGGGAGGGAATCTCCAAAAAGTTAGAGGAGGGCTAATTCTGTCCCCCTTACCTGTCTGGGAGGCTGGAGACAGAAACCCTGTTACTTGCCCTAATGGCAATTGTTTTGCCTCTCACCACACTGCTCCCCCAACACCCACCCAGCCGACCCCTCAGCCTCTCTGACACTTGTCATGGTGGCATACAGGGGTTTCTGTGATTTGTCTTTTTACCCACTGCCCCAAGCTCTGCAAAACACCCAGTAAGGTGCCAACAGGGTAAAATCAATAGTTCCTCTGAACTGGGTGTCTTTCACAGAAATGACTCATTTTAAAAGGCATGCAGATTTACTTGTCATGTGTGTAAACTTTAGCGTATGAGCACATTTCAAAAACTGGTGTTAAAATCTGGGATATTGTTTTGGCATTAAGATTTTTTTTAAGGTAATCTCTGGGAGACTAGACAGTTCGTGACCACAAGGCTCTGCTGTCTCCTGATTTCCATGTTATAGTGATGTCTGTTGGGCAGTTGTTTCAGATTCTTCCTGGTTTTCAGCAAGAGAGTAAAAGTCCTCACAGTGACTTGATATAAAAACCATTTTAAAAAAGATTTTAAAAGCTACTTTCCCTGGCTCCCTCTCCTGGCTTTTGAATGAATGCTTGATATTGATCTAGAGCCATAGTTCTCTAAGTGGGGGCACTAGACCAGCAACATCAGCATCCCCTGGGAACTTGTGAGAGATGCAAAACTGGGGACCCACCCAGGACCTACTGAATCAGGAACTCTGGGTTGGGGCCCAGCAAGCTGTGTTTTAACAAGCCCTCCAAACGCTGATGCATTTCAAGTTTGAGAACCGCTGGGTGCTAATGGAAGGGAAGCTTCAAAATATGTAGCCTCCTTTTATCTTGAGATGTCTCTAGTATTTCAAAGAAATGGGACCCTTTTTTCATAGGAATCTGTCTGAAGGAGAGGCGGGGTCAGTGATCTGCAGCTTCAGCTGCCCCTCTGCCTCTTTGGGGTCCAGGGCTATCTCTGGCAGAAGCCAGCCTCTGAGAGAGGAGGGGGAGAGGGTGGTGGTCTTCCTCTGTCCCCTTGTCCAGACATTGAAGATGTTCAGTGTAACACAAATCCGCTAGCCTGGCAAGTCACTATAAATCTGCTTATGCCCCAGAGCAAAGTGGGTTGTGAATTGCCCTCTTTTCCAACCCTGTGGTAATTAGCAGGAGAAAATCAATAACCACCAACATTGAACATGATGTAATCTATGCAGAAATAGAAGTATAATGATGTACACCTGAAATTTTTACAATGTTATAAACCAATGTTATTGCAATAAACAAAACAAAACAAAAAAACTCAACATTCAGCCCATGTGGGTCAAGATTTAGAATCATAATTTTTTAAAAATAGTTTTGCCAATTTGATGGACCAAAATGGTACCTCATTGTTTTGAGTTATATTTTTTTCCACTTACCAATTGAGTTTATCTTTTTGTATCTTTACTGCTCATTTGTATTCTTGCTTTATGAATAGCTTAGCAAAGCAGCAAGTCCTCAAAGATAATATCCTTTGCCTAATTTTTTCTTTCATTATATTCTTTTTATTGATTTGTTAGAGCTCTTCCTCTATTAAGGACCTTAACCAAATTTCTGTTATCTATATTGCATATATATTTACCCAATTTTTTTTTCTTTTGTATATGGCATTTTGACTTGCAGAAATTTTTCCACTATATTCCTTAAATCTATTATTTTTTACAAATACATATTCTAAAAACCATAAAAAAAAATAACCACCAACCTTGGTCAATTTTAATATAATCATAGCATTTGTAGTTCTGAAAGTCACATTAAGTATTCCTGGTACAACACACACACACACACACACACACACACAATCACTCTCCCTGCTTTTTTCTAAGATGGAAACTGAGGGTCAGAGAGGTTCAGCATTTTGCCTACAACCACACAGCTACACAAAGAGGCAGAGCTGAGACTAAACGTTGGTATTCTGCCTCCCTAACTGGTATTATTTCATCATCAGGAATTTCCTTTCCTAGGAGAATTAGGAGCTAGCCCCTCAAGGTCTGCTCCTCTGTTGACCCACCACTGTCGCTGTCAGATTCTGTGCAGCCAGAACTCAAAGGAGCCAGAGGGCGTTAATTTTAAACGAGGTACTCAGGCGCTTAATAGAATATATATATGTATATGTATGTGTGTGTGTATGTATAATATAATAATATATATACACGCTGTGTATACATCCTGTGTATACACATACATACACAGGATGGCCCTAATGAATATTATTTAGGGTAGGTTTGAAATATAAATATTTGTTGCTGCAACGATGGACCTTCCTGAAGAAAGATTTTCAGAATTGCCACTGGAGATGCACACGCGTGCACGCGTGTGTGTATACACACATACATACATATATATATATAGTATATATACATATAACCAATGGACCAGTTAGTTCTATACGCTGACTTGGGCAGCTTTCTGAGAACTAGAGCTCCAAGCAGGAGAGTACAAAGTGAGGCTGGAGCCTGTGTGCTTTTGGTCTCTTAAGATGGGGTCATCCACTGGGTAAAGGAAGTCAGGTCCTGGCGGGCTCGGCTGGGGGATCTGTACCCTCTAGTCAGTTTGATTTGCATCATCTCAGTAGTGAAACACTTCCAAGCGTGCATTTTACTAAAAGTCAGTCAGTAGTTCTTTGACAGGAAAGGAAGTGTGCCACTGTAGCCTGTGTATGCATGCGTGTGGAATCCCCAGATTCTAGCCCAATCTGAAAGCCTCCTGGGGACAGCTTGAGTTGCTAGTGGCATAGCTAAATCCTCAGTATAAATCATCATTCTCAGTTATTCTTGCTTCTCCTGAGAGTTTACACCCCGAGGAGGGTGTGTACCCACCCTCCAAAATCCAGCCACTGCTGAAAGCTGCCTGCTGGGTTGTCGACACTCATCATGAGAGCTGCCTTGGCCCCAGATCTGAACACCTGGTCTCCTCTAGGGCTTGCCTCAGGGAAGAGAGCCACTGGGCCCAAGGCTACACCGTCTTCCTGGGGCGCCACATCCAGTGCCTGATCAACACCAGGCATGAAGACCCAGCCCTCTGGACAACTCTGAAGGGTCCTCCCACCTTCAGGACTCCTTCCAGGGTTGGCTGAGCCTCCACTGAGATTCTATGGAGGTTTGACTTCTCCCTGTGCCCACTCCTGCCTCCTCCCATCCCTTCCCTCCACAGGTGTTAATCCAAGAGCACTCCCTAATAAACCTGCTTCTTCAGGAACCCAGCCTGTGGTGGGCAGTTTACCCAATGAGATGCAATTGTTCTAGCCATACGGTCATTAGGCACACAGGATGAGCGGATCACATAAATGATTATTGTTTGTATTCCTTTTACACAGATCACACATTTCTATTTTTTTCTCTTCCATTTGGATTTTTCTGTAATATCCACCATCAGTGGTGATATGGGAAATGTCCCCTAATGCAAATTCTTGTTTAATCATTGCTCCTCATAGATATACACGTCAAAAAAAGAAGACCTGTTTCTTTCCCTCTCAAATCATGGTATCAGTCAGGATACACTGGGTTATGCTGCAGTAATAAGCAACCCCAACATCTCAGTAGCTTAACACAAGAAAATTTATTCCTTGCTCATGCTACATGTCCAAAGTTGTCAGAGGTTGTGCCCTGTGGAATCACTCAGGGACCTAGGTTGAAGGTGACTCGGACTCGACAATGTGGCCACCATCATCTAGTTAGGAGGATGGAAACTCTGGAGGGTCTCATACAGGCCATTCCATGCTCTGGCCAAGAATTCACATCCTATCTGCTCATTGATTAGAACAAGTCATTGGCCCCACCCAAAGACCAGGGAGCAAAAGAGGTCATGTTTCCAGGTCTCCAGAGGAGAGGAGAACCTAATATCAGGAGGAGCATTAATGAAAACAACTCCCAACACCTGTGTGATCTACAGGCCACCCAGAAGAATTCCAGGACTTTGGTGAGTAGACAAAGGGTTCATCCTAGGAGTGCCATCTCCAGACTCTCCTCCTGTGACTGCCACATTGCCTGCCCACACTGGAAGCTAGATTGCTGCTCGTGGGGATTTTACAAGTGACGGAGGTCATCAGCCTGGTGGCTGTTCCAATGTTTGCGCAGAGCGGATCCCAAAAGAACTCCATCTGGAAGATTTTGACAAAAAAATATACTCCGGATCCCCATGATCTGGGAGTCATCTAGGAAGAAGGATGGGAGAAAAGTTAGAATTAAAATGGGGAAAAAGAAATGGCGAGGTCAGAACAGACGTCCCATCTCTCCTGGCCTAGCCCCTCCCCCACCGCATAGAAATGACTAATTTATTGACATGGGGGCAAGAAGAGGGCTGGTCTTCACTGTTCCAATTCTCTCCTCTCACAGGGGAAAAGAATCGTCTATCTCTCAGCTAGGTTAAGAGGTTTAAGGCTATAAGGATTGGGAGAGTTAAGAGCAATGTGAAGACATTCAGTGCATGGCTGAGCCTTTCCCTTGGAACACTGGGAGGGAAAGTCACTAAAGAGAGGATGGGGACAACAGAGGCCAATCGCCCAGAGCCACCCAGTTCACTGTAGGCTGGCTGCTGTGGTACACACCTCATACTCATCCTGGGTGCTCGACCGTGCCTGTTCCAGGCATCCAACTCCCATGTCCTGTCTGGTCTCTTGCTGGTAGACCTTCTGCTGTCCCCAGCCCCAGCCTAGGACAGTCCTCTTCAGACAGTGCCTTTGCCTTCCTGGCTCTGCCATGCTGCTCCTGGGGTGTTTCTTCCAGTGCATGACTGGGTCCTTCTGAGCTGGGAGTGCCAAGCCATTTACCACGTGGAGGACTGTTCGGGGAACAAACGAAAACCCATCACAGGCTTCTCACCCCCTCACTGTGAGCAGGTATTTACCAGG